ACTGGCTACAAACCGTCCAATCTGCAAAGCATCCCTGGCTACCTGGGCCCGCGCGCAGGGCCGGGTCTTTCCCCCCCCTTGCCCAGGTGACCAGAGCATCGCCTCCCAGGCGCCAGGCTTTTGTCTGCAGACAAGGTGGGAGATCCCCGCTGTGAGAGATTCAACAGCAGCCTCTCAGGCTGGCTGAGACAGATCTCTGGAGAGGGGCACCGACGGGGCATTTCTGCCACACCCAGGACCTTTGTTTCAAACCCTGCAAGATTTCCATGCAGGTGTGCTTATCTCCCTTTCTGACATGATCATCCCACTGGATGGAATGATTGCGTTTGTTGCCACTTCAGTTATTATAAAACCCTCCCTTCCTGTGCCCTGTTGAGGAATGATCCTCTCCCAAAAAAGTGTGTCATGGTCAGTCATCTATCCTGGATTCTGTTCACTGCTGCCAGGCCTCGCTTTAAACAGTCCCAGAGAAGAAACTCACTTCCATTTCTTTGCCTGGGATGACACTGATATGACAGATGTTATCCTGCCACCAGTGTGTCCAGCATCTCTTCATTTTGGTGCCTTGTAAATAGCAAAAACTTCATCTTTCTCCTCTTCAGCACATCACATGTCACTGCATCTCCACACCACGTCTATGGAAGTTCTGTCAGTCTCGTACCATTTTATACCTCAAAGTGGTGGGTACAGTATTTTGTTTCCTATGACCATCCCCCAGCACCTGGGTGACAAGGGCCATCATCTCTTGCATCCTAAATGTCCACCCTCCATTGTCCTTCAAGGCCCCAGGAGAATCCTTGAGTTCATTGGATCCATTCCCCAAATCCCAGTGGGCTATTTGGGATCCAGTACCCAGTCATGAATGCTTTTTAACCACTGCCCTGAACAGGATATCGTGGTCTCACACCTGACTTAATCTGCTGCATTGTGCGAGGACAGGAGGAGCTCTGGGTCTGTGATGATGAGGACCGTGGGGACATCTCAAAGTTGGAGGACCTGCTGCCAGGTGAGTTGTGGCTGCCCCCTGCCCTGACTCCCCTCTCACAAATGCTCCATGCCCACAGTGACGGGGGGCCTGGAAACTGCAGGCCTGCCCGGTGCTGCCCTTCCAGGTTTCTGACCTCAATTACCTTATGCAGTCATATGTCTAGGGAGATGCTGTGCCCACGCACTGAAATTCCAAGTTGTGGAGATGAGCAGCCTTTCCCCTTTCTCCCCCTAACTACAACTGCTAGGGGACAACCAAGTATACTGTTCTCATGTTTAGGCACAGGCCTGGTTACCCTGGGATACCATGGTCATAAATTTCCATTTTCATTTAACAGTGGAAGAATTGATTCCTCAGCCCAAGGTAGCCATATGTGTATAGGACCCTCTCCCAAGGCATGATGGGATTTGTGGTCCCCCATGGAAATCCACATGGTGGGTCGAAGCTCTGTGTAGTAATTATTGTAGAACAAGAGAGAGGCCACTTGGTGCCTGCTGGTGAGGTCGACCTGGAACCAAGGAAGTGTTGAATCCTGGTCACGGGCTGCATTGAATGGCCCCACGGGGTGGGTGGGATTCACAAGCTTTCATGTTGCAGGGGGAAGTGGATTGCCCATGGCTTGTACCTTTGTGTTTTGTCTCTGGGCCGTGAGTGTGGGACTCAGCAGAGAGTGCATGTGCAGGTTCATGCCCAGGCCTTTGTCCCAGGGCAGATTCTGGTGACATGCAGGCCACCTGGGCCTCATCAGCAGAGAAAAGCCACATAGACCCATTTCAATCTCCAGACCTTTTCCTGGAAGCAGGAAAAGGAGGCATAGCTTTGTTCTTTCCAGGAAAGGGACCCCCACCTCTTAGCCCTCCCCTCCCGGAGCAGGTTTTGGAGACACGAGGGATGAACTACATGGGCTTTTTCTACCAAGGAGAAGCAGCTGGTCCAGTGTAAGGCCATTCTCCCCACACAGCCGTGACTTCTGGGCAGCTCCAGATATTCACCGTGAGGCTGTCCATCCTGTTACCATATTCAGCTCTCAGGACTGCCAGAGGTCATGGGCAAGCACTGGAGAACAGTCTCACCAATGCACTTTGCCTTCCGGAGCATGTTGACCCAGCCAAGTGGAGAGCTTGGCATCATCTGGACTGCTAGTGCTGTGGGACAGAGCAGGTCTTAGAGAGTCTCCTTCTTCCTTTCTGTTCATTCTGCCTTAGAGCAGGAAGCAGTTCAGGTCCTGTCCTAACACACGTCCCACATGGGTTTCTCCTAGCAGGGTCTAAGGGGATGGTGCTGACAGCTGGGCCAGAAACACTGAGGGTTTGGCTCTGACCTCTCTAGCAAACAGGGCATATTAGCCCAGCCCAGGAGACATGCCTCTCTTAAATGCCCAGCCCTTGTGGTTTGGCAGGAAGACCTTGTTCTCTTCAGAAAACTTAAGTGCTGAGATGCAGTCATGCTTGCAGACCCATTGCAGCTGTGTTTGGCCTTTGCCAGCAGGGCAGAGAATAAACTAGTTTCTCTTCCCCGTTCAGGTGGTGCCTGCGTGCTGAGCAGAGTTGAGAAGCAGAGTCTTGAAGAAAGATCTGCAAACCTGGAGCCTACCTGCACTTCCTCTGGGGGTTTGGTCGAGATGGAGTCCCTGAGACCTGAGGAAGACCAATGGCTCCAGAGCCAGGGGAGACCCCAAAAACAGAGGGAGAATGTAGCTGTGAAGCAGATGCCATCTTTCCTTGGGCGTGAGAGTGGAGAAAGGACAGAGTCCAGAGAGAGCCCTGGGCCCAGGGAAGAATTTGTGGAGATGAAGAGTCATGAGACAAAGTTGCACTGGAAAGAGACCCTGTGTCCGAACCAAGCCAGTGGGGAGGGCCTGAGGGGGAAACAGGACGTGCCCGCCAAGCCCAGGGGCAAAGCCCACCCCTACCCTGAGTGCCAGAAAAACTTTAGCTGCCCCTCACATGGGGCTCTGCCACATAGGTGCCCTGAGTGTGGGAAGAACTTCACCTGCTCCTCCCACCTGGCTGTGCACCAGTGCATCCACAAAGTGAAGAGACCACATCAGTGCTCTGAGTGTGGGAAGAGCTTCACCTATTCCTCCCGACTGGCCCAGCACCAACGTATTCACACTGGTGAGAAGCCTTATCAGTGCTCTGAGTGTGGGAAGAGCTTCACCTATTCCTACAATGTGACACTACACCAGCGCATCCATTCAGGGGAGAGGCCATACCAGTGCTCTGTGTGTGGGAAGAGCTTTCCCAGTTCATCCTACCTGGACCGGCACCAACGCATTCACACAGGGGAAAAGCCATATCAGTGCTCTGTGTGTGGGAAGAGCTTCACCAGTTTATCCAACCTGTGTGAGCATCAGCGCATCCACAGAGGGGAGAAGCCATATCAGTGCTTTGTGTGTGGGAAGAACTTCACCCATTCCTCCCACATGACACGACACCAGCGCATCCATACTAAGGAGAAGCCATATCAGTGCTCTGTGTGTGGAAAGAGCTTCACCCAGTCCTCCCACCTGGCCCAGCACCAGCGTATCCACACAGGGGAGAAGCCATATCACTGCTCTGTGTGTGGGAAGAGCTTCACCCAGTCCTTCACCCTGGCCCGGCACCAACGCATCCACACAGGGGAGAAGCCACATCAGTGCTCTGTGTGTGGGAAGAGGTTCACCAGTTCATCCCACCTGGCCTGTCACCAACGCATCCACACTGGGGAGAAGCCACGTTAGTGCTCTGCGTGTGGGAAGAGGTTCACCAGTTCATCCCACCTGGCCTGTCACCAACGCATCCACACTGGGGAGAAGCCACATTAGTGCTCTGCGTGTGGGAGGAGTTGCAGAGATTCCTCTGACCTGGCCATCCACCAGCGTATCTGCACAGGATATAAGCCACATCAGTGCTCTGACTGTAGGAAGAGCTTCACCCAGTTCTATTTGGCCCAGAACCAGCGTATCCAACCACAGAAAAAGTAGTGCTGAGTATGGAAAGAGCTTGTCCCAGTCCTTCAGCCTGGCCACACACCAGTGTATGCACACGGTGGAGAAACCACATCAGTGCTCTGTGTGTTGGAAGAGCATTGCCCTATCCTACAGCCTGACTAGACACAAACATATTCACGCAGGTGAGAAGCCATATCAGTGCTATGAGCATGGTAACATCATCACCCATTCTTCAGCCTGGCCACACACCAGCATATGCACACAGGGGAGTAACCACATCAGTGCCCTTAGGGTAGGAAGACTGTCACTGTTTTGTCCCACCTTGCCCAGCACCAACGCACCCACAGAGGGGAGAAGCCGTATCAGTGCTCTGTGTGGGATGAGCACCAGTTCCTCCTATTGGGCCATCCACTGGCACATCCATGCAGGGGAGAAGCCATATCAGTGCTCTGAGTATGGGAAGAGCTGCACCCAGTCCTCTCACCTGGACCGGCACCAACACATCTGTGAAGAAATCCCGCTCTGTCTGTCTCCTTGGACTAGGACATTCCAGCCTCCCCTCTCGTTTTTAAACACTGGCTGTTTGGATCCATACAGGGAAGAATCTACATCTATGTTGTTTGTGTGGGAAGAGCTTTACCAATTCCTTCTACTTGGCCCTGTACCAGCGTATCCGCATGAGAGAAGTGCTCTGAGTGTTGAAGGAGCTTCACCATCCTTCAGCCTGGCCACACGCAGGGGAGAAACCACATCAGTGCCCTGAGTGTGAGAAGACCTTCACTATTTCATCCCACATGGCCCGGCACAAATGCATCCACAGAGAGGAGAAGCCACATCCTCTGTGTGGGAAGAGCTTTACCAGTTTCTCTGACCTGGCCATCCCCCAGAGTATCCACACACAAGAAAGCCACATCAGTGCTCTGTGTAGGGGAAGAGCTTCACCTATTCCTGCAGTCTGGTACAATGCCAGCACATCCATATGGGAGAGAAGCCATATTAGTGCTCTGACTGTGGGAAGAAGCTCACCCACTCCTTCAGGCTGGCCACTATATTCACACAGCAAAGAAGCAACATCATTTCTCCGAATGTGGGAAGAGCTTCACCCAGTTCTGCATCCTGGACACCCATGCATCCACACAGGGGAAAAAAGACTTTAGACCTTTGTGAATGAGGATAGCTTCCACAACTGCTCTCGCCTGTGTACCCACACCCAGGAGATCCATAATTCTGCCAGAAGTGCAGGGAGGGCTTGTGGATGCCTACCTGCTTGACTTTTACCAGTGGCTGCATTCAGGGAAGCAGCCTCCTGCTGCTGGAGTGTAAAATAGCATCACACAGCCTTCGGGCCTTGTAGGGCACTGCAGAACCCAAAGGACCCAGTAGCTGGTCCCCAAGGTTTAATTCGCCTGACAGTCTGTCAGGTTTTGCTTTTCAGCCTCTCCAGAATGCTGTACCCCTGGGTGCCTGCTGCTCCCCTGCCTTTCGCCTCACTTTGTAATGCAGTCACTGCTCAAAAGGTAGTCCTCCTAGTGCTTGGGATTCTCGTGCTGGCTGCGGCTGTGGCTGGATATTTGTTGTACATATGTAGGCATCTCTGCTAGAGCTGTGGGAAGCAGAGCAGTGAAGAAGGACAGACACACAGCCCTGGGGAGCCCCTGATGCTGGTCACAACCAATGAACACTCACTTGCCAGTCGTCAGACAGACAGATTCAGCATCAGCAAGGTTTTCCCAGCAGGGGTGACGGTATGAGCAGGAAGGTGGGTGTAGGCTGGACCATGCCTTCCCTACCAGTGCTGTTCAGACCCCACCTGCCATGTCTGTCTGTGTGTGTCCCAAACACCTGGATTCTGTCTGTGTATGTATTGCGGGTCTTTGTCAGAGGGGCACGATGTAGGATGAAGCCCTTGATGTCCAGGTGTCTTGTGGGTCTCTGTTGTGAGCCAGAGCCTCTTTGTCCTGAATAATTAACCAATAATCACAGTCTGGTCCTCACCTGCCATGCTTTGATGCATCTTATAACTCAGGAGGTGTTGCTGTGTTGAAGGTTTCATAGTTGGTAGGGTTGGAAGGGACCTGAGGAGATCATCTAGTCCGACCCCCTTCCGTGGCAGGAAAGAGCACTGGGGTCAAACGACCCCGGCCAGATGTTCGTCCAGCCTCCTTTTAAGGACCCCCAGGGTAGGAGCCAGCACCATTTCTCTTGGAAGTTGGTTCCAGGTCCTAGCTGCCCTGACAGAGAAATAGCACTTCCTAATGTCTAGCCTAAAACTATCCTCCGCTAGCTTGTGTCCATTGTTTCTTGTAACTCCCGGGATTGCTCGGGGGAAGAGGGACTCTCCCAATGCCTGCTGGTCCCCCTTGACTAGGTTGTAGACTGCCACTAGATCCCCTCTCAGCCTTCTCTTTTGGAGGCTGAACAGGTTCAGGTCCCTCAGCCTCCTGAAGTGGGGTGCCCAGAACTGGACGCAGTACTCCAGCTGCGGCCCAACCAGTGTTGCATAGAGGGGGAGGATCACCTCCTTGGGACCTGCTTGAGATGCACCTGTGGATGCACGACAAGGTGTGGTTGGCCTTCCTGACCGTGTCCCCACACTGCCGGCCCATGTTCATTGTGGCATCAATGATGGCTCCAAGATCCTTTTCTGTCTCAGCACTGGCGAGAAGAGAGTTCCCCACCTGTAGGTATGCCGCTGGTTCTTCCTCCCCAGGTGCAGTACCCTGCACTTGTCAGTGTTGAACCCCATCCTGTTCTCATCGGCCCACCCCTGTAACCTGTCTAGATCCGCTTGCAGCCTGTTCCTTCCTGCTAGCGTGCCCACTTCACCCCACATCTTTGTGTCATCTGCGAATTTGAACAGGGTACTTTCTACCCCCTTGCCCAAGTCACTGATGAAGATGTTGAATAGTGCAGGCCCGAGAACCGAGCCCTAGGGAACACCACTGCCCATATCCCTCCAGCTCGAATAAGTCCTGTCTACCACCACCCTCTGGGTGCGGCCCTCCAGCCAGTTAGTGACCCATCTGACCGTGTAGGCATCAACACCACTGTCTCCTAATTTCTTACTGAGAATGGGGTGAGAGACCGTGTTGAAGGCCTTCCTGAAGTCCAGAAAGACTATAGCTATGCCCGACTCCTATGACTCTACATCCTGATAGCACTGAAGTCGGTCGCAGGAGCCGCTGGCAGCCCCAAGCCCCTCGCACAGGCAGCAGCAGAACTGCTATCTCTACTGCAATGAGCTGTATCTACCTTCCAGTCGGTAACAAAGAGCTACTTGCTTCATGGGACAGGCCTGAAGTTATACCAAGTGCCAGGCCACTTTTTTCATGCAAGAAGCCACAGTATGGCTCTTTATGCAAGTGCATTTATTATTGACTTACAGCAAATCAGTGTTGAAAGGGGCCTCAGGAGGCCACATCTAGTCCAATCCCTTGCTCAAAGCAAGATCATCCCCAACTAGATCATCCCAGCCAAGGCTTTGTCTATCTGGGTTCTGAAAACCTCCAAGGATGGAGCTTCCACCACCTCTCCAGTTAACCTGTTCCAGTGCTTCACCACCCTCTTAGTGAGAGTTTTTCCTGTTATTCAAACTCAATTCCCCTTGCTGCAACTTGAGCCCACTGCTCCTTGATCTGTCACCACTGTGAACAGTCCAGCTTCGTCCTCATGTGGACCACCGTGCAGGGAGTTAAAGATTGCTATTCTGTCCTCCCTCAGTCTTCTCTTCTCCAGGCTAAATAAACCCAGTTCCCTCAGCCTGTCCTCACACAACATGTCTCCCAGCCCCTGAACCATCTTCATTGCCCCCCACTCCAATGTGTCCACATCCTTTTGTCAGGTTTGACCTAGAAACCACTACACATAGCCCAAGCAAAAGTCTCTGTTCTGTAACTAATGCCCAACTGCAATGATAAGGAGAAGACAGTCTTAGATAAAGGAGGCTTGAAAACAAAAACAGAATTAGTGGACTAGGACAAAGAGCTGATTTAAATATTAAGATTCACACCCCTAGGTGGGGAGAAAGTATGCTAATGAAACATACATGTATGGAAATGAGATACATAGCTAAAACACAGGTATAGAGACATGCGCAGTAAAGAACTCCTTGCGTCACTCCCTTATAACCAATTAGCAAACAAGAATGCTTATGAAGGTCCAATACTCCTGTATAAAAGATGCTTAGAATTAAGAATCTGTGTGCTTGTTACGTGAAATTATTCCGCTTGCACCTTGTATTGCTAGCAATAAATCTTTATACTTTCACCCCTGGTATCTTTATTGGCTTTTGCATACCAGGCACGATCCCAGACTTGAGCTGGGGCTCAACAGTAGGATGGGGCCACGAGCACCATAAGCCACCTGAACCCTGGATGCTCAACAAAGGAGAAGGTCTGGCCATCCAGAGCAAGCATCTCCCCAATGCTCTAGGTGATCTCGCTCGCGTTGGGAATGCACTCCCCTTTGTCTGTGCCTTTCCGCCACTGGTCCAGGGTGGCCTGCCTCTGCTTCTTGGGGATGGGGGCTTAGGAGAGAGAGGGGGACTTCTTTTTGGGTATGCTCCCACTGGTGCCAGGCTGAGAAGGAACAAGGGCAAGGGGGTGCTGCCTCCTGAGATGAAGCAGCATTGCTGTGGTGGTGAAGTGTTTCTCATCCTTGCCCTGGCTCATCTGCTTTTGGCAGTGCTGGCAGGTAGCATAACTGGAATCATTTGCCATGTCAAAATGATCCCACACTGCACTACCCCTGCCAATTCTGGGGTGAGGGTGGGGATCCTGCCTTATCCCCCTCCTTACCAGGCAGAGGCACAACAGGAGGAGGAGCTCAGCCACCTGCCCCCACAACCTCCTTCAAAGTGCCTTCCAGAAGAGACCTACCTCTAAGGGAACTTCGAGGGGTGTGGAACGCAAACTCAGATCACTGCAAACTTCTATAATTGTACAGTCCTTAGTGTAGACAGAAATGGAGCTTCAGGTGGGTGCCAAGAAATTATCAATTAAGAAGACACAGGGTTGAATTCTGCTAGTCGACATGGCAGCTTTCTAACAATGTAAGTGGCATTTGTAGAACTTGTACACCAGTAGTGATACTATGACCCATGCCATGTAGATAGGTGAGTGTGCACAGGCAGACTGAGTATGAGCACTAGGCTTTGAACTGGCTAGGCACATATATGACTATGTACATGTGCCCATTATGGATGTGCACCTGTATTTAAGTCACAAAAATGTAGCCAGCCAGAAACCCACGGCTGTGGGGAAGGAAGAAGGCAGGGTAGATATACACCCTGTAAACCAGTAATACCCAAAGGATGTGCTGAGACATACTACTATGTTGTGAGAGCAATGGAAGTGTGTGGCAAGCTCTCCCTGTGTGAAGAGGTAAATGCTTTCCAACCCCAACTGGCACCCTGCGCCTACCCCAGCTGCTTCAGTGGCACCTGCAGCTTCTCCTATGGAGACTACTTCTGCCATCTTCCCCCATGTCCCCTGCCCCTGTGGAGCCCGTGTGATGGAAACCTCCTCTTCCCCTGCCCAACAACTCTCCCAGCAGCATGCTCTGAAAGGGCAGGCAGATGCACAGACTGAGCTACATTTTGCAGCCCAGCTCATTCCTTCCACTTCTCCCACCATCCCAGGGTTGGTTAGAGGGGTTGTGTGCATGATCATTGTTGTGTCAGACCCTGCAGGAGCAGCAGGGGCTGCCGTTACCCCCTAAGTTACAGTCCCGG